CTCTCTCTTCCCTCATTCCTGATGCTCAGAGTTTCCTTCTTGTATCATTTCTCTTCTGCGTTTTAGACCAGGTCTGTGGCCAATGAATTCTCATAGTTTTCTTTTATCTGAGAATGTGTACTTATGTAAGGGTGTCTATTTTACCTTCATCCCTGAAGGATATTTTCATGGATATAGAGTTCTGGGTTGACAGTTCTTTTCTTTCAGCATTTAAAAAATATTCCACTTACCTCCGGCCTCCATGGTTCCTGATGAGAGATCTCTAGTCCCTTCAGACAAACTCCTATTTGTTTTTCAAAACTCAGATCAGATTTTATTTCTTATTCAGATTATGCTGATCTTTTGTGTCAACTCCCTCCCCGCGTGCGCTGATCAGTCCTTCTTACGAGAGTGAGCGAGAAGGAACAGGAGGAGCAGGAGATAAACAAGAAGAAGCTGGCAGACTAACCACCTGAGGAACCTCAGAGAATGTCTCTGGAACTGAGCTAATTAGTAAACAAGGGTCTCATGCATGGAGAAAGCAAGTGTGCAACCACACAGGTGGGTCTTCCATGCCCACCCAGTTGCAGGAGATCCCCAGGTGGCTCAGGAAGCAGTTGATGAGAGCTTAGAATGTTACTGTGGGCTCATTCATTTATTGAACAAATTCAAAGGTCCTGAGTAACACTGGCATCTTTCTCGCAGACTTTAATGCTTCAGTGATAAGTTTTCTGGAACCAAGACAGGCCGGTAGAGCGCATCTTGGAGCTGGAAGGGTCCATCAGGGACTGCTAGCTCCTAGTGACAAGGCAGCTATTGATTCTGCGTGAGACTCCACCCCACGCAGCCCCCAGCCTGCCCAAGAGGTTATGGCAAGACAGATTCCCAAAGTGCAGCAGTATGCCAACCCCAAAGTTGGGCTGGAGGGGACATGGTTGGCAAGGCCAGAAAGTTCCCATACAACACCTCCTGGGGAGCACAGTGAGAGAGCAGAAAGTGTGGATTCTGGGAGATTAACATTGTTCATTACCACGTCTTCTTTGCTGACACTTCCCTTTTCTCCCCCTCTCCCTTCCTCCTTCCTTTTCCAGAACACTGGCATGTTTTCTCCTGGGATCTCACAATAGTTAGAGATGGTGAATCTGATGAGGATGAGAAACATCATTCTGAGCATTTCTTCTCCTTCTCTCTCTCTCCATCCAATGGGAAAGAAAATCTCTTTCAAGAACACCCTAGAAGTTTCTGCAGCTTCATCTCTGTGTTCCAAATTCTTAGAAGACAACTTTAGGTGTGGCCTCAAATACATTCTGAAGGGACCACTCACCACCAGATCCAATGTCTGCCCGTCTCTCAAAGCTATGTTCACTTCCCCTCCCCATGAAGCCTTCTAGAAAACCCCAATTTGGAAACAAACTCAGCAGACTTAATGAAGATTACTGACAGGTTTCCATGTGCTGGGCACTGGGAAAGCAGGTAGATTAAGCATCACCCCTGCCTTCTAGGAGCCCACATTCTACCAGGGCAGAGAGACAGGGAAAGGGTTGAATACTCCAAGAGTGCTGTGCTCTGTGTTTGGGTGTTGGGGAGGCAGCTTACTTCTGAGAGTCTAGACAGAGGCGTTAGCTCTTTTACTCCCTTGCTGACAACTTTTCTGGGCTTCTAGTCATTTGGTGTTGAACTTGATATTCGTTTTTCAAACTACTCTATGGACCCTTGTCTATGCTACTTCTGGTTGGTTGCAGGGGTGGCTGGGGAGGGTGGGATATGGAATGTGCATGAGCTCTGGGTCTCCTGCTCCCAACTTCAGCCAGATGAATCCCACTTTTAACTGTGTTCTTTACCTTATATAGCCAATCCCATTTGAACAGAAGTTTCCATGGCTATTAAAGCTTGAAACCACTCAGCATTTAAAAAATATTCCACTTACTTCTGGCCTCCATGATGACCCAGGTAGCCATGCCCACAGTACTCTGGACTCACAAGGTGCTCCACAAAATGAGTTCTGTGAACATATAAACTTAGAAAAGACCTCTGGGCACATCAAGCTATTGGCAACTCACATTACTTGAGCATGATCTTAGGTATGCTCTGGGAGTGAAGAGGGGGAAGCCCTGATTTGTAGTGTTTGTTGATTCCCACAGTGTAAATTCTCCCAACACAGCCAAGTCAAGTTACTGATGTGATGCCTCAGAATGCAGCGTTGGGAAGAGAGGCACAGTTCAGTAACTGGCCTCGGCACATTCCTGGTTGGTTGTGGGACACCAGTGAATGACCCACTACCATTTTTCCCTTCTGAGTTTAGGACCAACTAAGATTACAGACTCAGGAGACAGATGCAGGTTGTGATGTCAGTTGATGATGACAAAGTTGGGTTAGAGGAATGGTGGGTTGCATTGTGGCTCAGATACCTGCCTCCCTCGTTGAATAGTAATATTCTTCCTCGTTCTATTGATTTGGGCTCAGCTGGGTGAGCTGCTTTCCCTTCCTAGGACTGAAGAGGCCTCCTGTGCTCTCACTTGCCCTTTTGTACTTCTGCCATCACCACTGGTGTCCCAGCAACCCTGGCCCAGGGAAGGAGAGGCACAGGTGCAGAACTGAGCTGGCTCAGCAAGCCCAGCCTCCGTAAGCCCACCTCGTTGACTTACAGACTCTTGAGCCAAACAAATGCTTCTTGTATGCTGTTTTTGTTAAACAACATTACTGAGCCATAGTTAACTTATTCAGAAATTGGTACCTAGAAATGGGAGGTTGCTATTCCTGAAATATGTAGCATAGGTTTGGAACTGGGCAGTGAGGAAATTTATGGGAGGTTGGGAAAATGGCAAGAAAAATGATGACCTGTGCTATGTGGTGGAGAAACACTTGGCAAAATCATTGCCTATAGTAATTTGGGAGGGAGAAAATGTACCTATGGATTAGTGGAGTTGGGCAGGATGGTTTCCAGGCAGAATACTGTAAACACGAGGTGCTTTGAGCTGCAAATAATAAGGTACTACGAGTAAGAGATGAAGTTCAGAAAGGTACTGGCCAGTTTGCAGGCAGAATTTAGAAAATGAAATTATTTCTCATCTCCAGTCTCTCTAGCCAGTCAAAGATCCTTAAATTAAGGTTTGGCCTTGGAGGCAAAGACCAAATCCAGAGCAGAGCCAGTGAAACACGCTTCAGAGTAAAAATGAAATCCATGGTGTGCCTTTAATTGTAACGCCCTTTGTCTTACAACCCTCAAGAGAAATAGGCAGCATCTAGCATGTCCTTTCAGTGACAATGGGGTGGCTAGAAACCTTCAGGCATGGCCTATGGAACCCTGATGTGGGGGTATCAGTCATCAAATGAAGAGAGAAGCATATCGCCAAAGGAACTGTGGGTGTAGCTTTTGGCACACAGAATGCCCTAGGATCAAATATATAGAAAACCCACACACTTTTGAGAGAGTGACACAGGCAGGTGCATGACCAGCATGGGGACTGAGACTGTCCACAACATAAAGGGTCTCAAGCTCCCAACTTCCCACAGGCAGGAAGAGGTTGAGTTACTCCATGCCAAAGGGCACCTTTACCAATGCCCTTGTCAGAAGTGGGAAGCAAGACGGAAAAGGAAGAAGGCCTTCATGGTGGAGGCGGAGCTGTGGGCACAGTTGGATAGGAGTCACTCGAGGAACATTCCACCCCCGGAGCAGGGGCACTGGCAACACCTGTCAGTGGGACTTCAGAGGCTCTGAGCCAATGACTGCCATGTGTCTCCCAGTCTTCTCTTTTCACATGGGAGTGTTAATTAGTTATTCTAGCCCTGCACTTGGGTGTTTATATGCAGACTGGTGGTTGGAGGCAGGCAGATAACTTGTCTTTTGGGCTCATATGTCTTTGGATCAAGAAGAGCCACATCCAGAATGGATGTGGGACATAAATAACTATATCCGTGAGGGCAGACTGGAGTAGATTGTATCACTGTTGAGAAATATTCACTCTCTCCCTCACTTCCATAGAAAGGGTTTACTGCCCCACTCCACTGCTATGAGTTTGGCCATAAGACTTGCTTTGGCCAAAAGCAGGCAGTGAAACTGACGGTGCACCAGTTCTGAGTAGAACCCCTGGGGGTTCCCGTGCTTATTTGACCAGAAAACCCTTCTCAGTCCACTTGGTCTCATCCCACAGTCCTGGCTTAAACTGAACACCTGCCATGCAGGGGTAATGCCCCACGTGGCTTTGGCTTCCAGACAGCCTGCTCTGTGTGCTAAGGTTTTTCTTGTGGAGAGGAGGAGGCAGATTAAGTGGCCTGGCCAGGAGTTTGGAAGCCTAGCATGCCTGGCCCTGCAGAAGGTGCCCCTTTAACCTGGTCTTGGGGCCTCCTGTCCCTGTTCCCATCTCAGTTCCAGAATCTGTCCCGACCACCCCCAGGCGGGGCCCCATGCCTCATTCATGGGCTCCCCTGAGGTCTACTGAAGTGCCCTGATCACTGCCAATGACCGACTGCTAGCTCACTAGTCAGGCTCTCCCTGTCCACCTGCCACGTGGCCTCCTAGGGCTTAGAGCCCCTGCTCATGCTGCTCCCCATGAGCTTGTTTGCCCAAGGTCAGCTGCTGGGCATCCTGGAGGCTCTACCTGCCTGCCCCAACTCTCTCCTTTTGCCTGCACCAGGGCACACACTTGGGGTCTACCCATCATCTCACCCCCCGACCCCAACTCAAATGTGCTCGATCAGAATGCCCATCAGAGAGAGGAGTCTGACTGAGGAGTGGTTAGGTCTGGTATGTGTGGTTCTTGGCAAACCAAATTAGATGTTCAGACTGGCTCTCTGGAAGAACAGATATTCACCATAAAACATCAACCCTGCCCACCCCCTGCCAAAGAGACAACAAATAGTCACTAAATGTCCCAACATTAAACATTTCTTGGTTAAGGTGGGAGAGTCAATTTTGATGCTGTTTAGAAAAAATACAGCCTAATTTCCATTGAAATGCACTAAATTTACTGCCCAGGTTCTCATTAACTAATGTCAAGGGAGAAGCAGATAGACAAGATAAATTATGAAAAAATTACTTTTTTAATGTACAAAAAGACGTATTTACAAGTTGAGCATGTCATCTCAATTCATAGCATGTAGAAAAAGCTAAAAATGTTTTGGAGATATAAATTTGGCTGGACAATTCACCTACAGTATATTCAGTGATGGTGTCTTCTGTACAGAATATATACAGGTTGGGAATGGTGAACAAAATCTTCTCAGGAAGTGAATGAACACCACCCCAGAGACACAGACCTCTGTCCATGTCCAGGACTGTCGTTTGGAGTTGGCTTTGCCTCTGGACCTTAACAAAGGATTTGATGTGCTGGGATGCAGAGGGCCCAGATAATAAGGTTTTGGCCCTGTCCACAGACTCTCCTAAGAAGTTTCTCACTGAAGCCAGGATCATGGTCAGAATCGAGCTCAGGGTGGTGCAGTTAGTTTGGCAAGGATGACCCAAATTCAACATGAGAATGTTTAGGGTGTGTATGGTGGGGAAGATGCATCAATCCACCCTACATTGTGTTCAGGAATGATGCCTTCTGAAACCAGTTTCAAATTCCATTTCCAGGTGGGACTTGATCACACCGAACAGGAAAATTCAGTGACAGTCCCTCAGAGTCCCCCAAATCAACCCTTTCACCCTCCCGCACCCACCCCAAACACCATGCATGTCATCATTCTCTGCCAAATGACCAGGGAGGGCAGAGGGAAAGGAATCCAGAAGATGCTGGGACTGCACGTTGTGGCTTGGCATAGACCACCAGGCTGCTGGTGAGTGGACAGCATGACCTGGAGGGGCCTGGGCACAGGCTGCCCTCAAGCCCTGGAGTTTTCCATGGTAAAGTGGGCAGATAGTGCATTGGAGAAACAGGATTCAGTAAACATGCGACTTCCTCTTCCTACTGGGAGATCTCCTGGGTGCACCCTCATCTCCTAGAGGCCTCAGTCCGTTCCTAACCCACAGCAGCTCCAGCAGCCCCGAGGTATTTAGAAACAAGGGGTCTTTTCAGAAAGGGCTACAATCTACATGCAGGAACACTGTAAACACTGTCTGGAGAGGCCAGGGCAGCTCCCGGGCTTGCCCCAAGTACCGTTGTTTCTTTCCTTTTTCCGGTGATACTTACATATTTTCTTCATTCATACCCAAACTCGGATTTATGGAGTAGAGATTCCAGCTCTACCAAACCTGGAATCAGGAATGTGCTTCTGAATCACCCAGGGAAAATCCACTTTCTTCTTCTCTGGCAAGGTACATTAGAGACCTAAAGAACTAAACTTCATAGCGTTCAGGTGGGCCAGGAATTCCCTTTCTTTGCAGGAAGCAGAATGAAAAGCTCATCTTCCTGGAGCAGAACATCCAGTATGGCTCTCGGATTCAAACTCAAATGTGGCTCCCCTACCCTCCTTCCACATGTCCTTGGAAAGCCCTTGGCCAATGTAATCCCTCATTAACCAAATGACAGAGGTGGAGAAGCCAGAACAGAGTGGTCCTATAAACACCAAAAGCTGGAAAGCACTGTGTAAATGAGTTCTTCATTCCTTCCTTTCCTTTCCCATTGAGATGTTTTTCAGTGTTCTGAAAAATAATCCAACAGACCAGCAAGGATGCCCATAAAACTTCTTTTAAAACATCTGTAGTCCGAACCAGCCATTGGCAAAAATCCCCCAGGCATATTTAATACTATTCTGGAAAAAGACAAAACGGATGAAAGCCCCACGCTCTGAGAGCGATGACCCCTGCAGGCCCACTCAGTTCCAGGGGCTGGGGCCTTTAGGTCATCATGTTCAGGAACTTGCTCTCCTCTGCCAGGCTGGTGAGCATGGAGCTCATGTCCCCGACAGCCATGTTGCTGATGCCCGTGGGGATGGAGGGCAGGGTCAGGGAGTTGCGGGGGGTGGTGAGGCGGGAGGAGCTCTGGGAGAGGCTGTGGAGGAGGCTGGGGCTCAGCGCACCTGAGAACAGGCTCGAGTGATCGCCATCATCCATGATAGCGTCAAAGTCAATCTGGGGTGCCTCCAGGAGCTGGGAGTCCACAGTGCTGGACACCTGGTTGACCCCTGGTGAGGGCAAGGGCTGGGGCTGCATACTGTCCAGGCAGGCCTGTGGCTGTGGTGGCTGGGGCCTTATGACCTGGCAGCCTGCGTGGTTCTCCAGGCCTCTGTTCTGTTCATACATGTGGATCTGGCCATAGTAGTAGAGCATACTGTGGTCCTGGGCCCCACCCACATCCTGCAGGGGCAGCTGTGGGGGCAATGACACCATGGTGCCCATCGTTCCCTTGGGTACAGCCCCTGCTGTCTCCTGGTTGGCTGGCACAGCAGCCACGGCATGGCCAGTGGCTCTGGCATAGGACAGTTGCTGCTGCCCAGCACGCACCCCACGGTGGCAACTAGCAGGATTGGGCTCGAGAGGTGGCCGGGGTTGCACCAGGCCAAAGCTTGATGCAGCCACCCCCATTGCACCCTGCTGGGGCTCCATGAAGCCAGGCTGGTGGGAAGGCAGAAGGCTAGGGACCTGGCGGTAGCCCTCCTGGCTCATGGGGGCCACCAGGTGATGGCTCTGCTGTGAGTAGCTCTGGGCTGAATTGGGGACCCCGAGTTCCCTGTGGCGACTGCCCATCATGGTGGGATTGGGGGCAACTTCCATTTGCTGAGGGAGCCCCAGGTGGCCTGACTTGGCTGCCATGTTGCTGCAGGATGTGGGGAATGGGTTGAGGGCACCACTGACAGTGCTGGGGCTCAGCTGGGGGTGGGCTTGGCCATAGTTGGGCTGGGGGCTCGCAGTGGTGGTCATGCTGGGACACTGGCCACCTGTTGCTGGCTGCTGCATCTGCTGCATATAGTTTACCCTGGGCGCGGAGGGGGCTCCGCCACGGGGCTGAAGGTGTGGCTGGGTGCTGTCCAGGCCCCCAGGGCTCGGCTGTAGGCCTTGTGGACTGTAGCCTGGGTACTGACCAAAGGCTGGCTTCTGCTGCACCACGGCCAGGTTGCCCTGAGGAAAGGGTGGAGGCTTTGTCTGGCTGGCCAGAGCATCCACGGTGCCGGAGCTCACCTCATTCCACTGCACGGGCATGTTATTTTTGTTCAGGCTGGAGGGTACCCCATAGCCCAGCTGGCTGCCTCCTAGCACAGAAGCAGAAGGGCCCACGTTGGAGTCCGCAGCCGCCAGCCTGCGCTGGCCGTGCACTCCTGGGCTGGGCAGTTTGGAGTGGTCAGAGAAGCCGGTGCTTTCTGTGGGATATCCCTGCCCAGCGCTCTCATCCAGAGTGCCACGGGCGTGAGCCTTGATGTACTGTACCACGTCGTCGGGCAGCACCAGGTCGTCCTCGGGCAGCCCCAGGTCGGCCTCGGGGCCCGCGCTGCCCACGCCTGCCGCCACGGCCTCCATCACCATATTCTCGCTGATGCTGGGCGGTCGGGGCGAGTAGGCGCCGCGGGCCAGGCTGCCGTCGGCGCTGAGGTGGCTCTGCAGGCGAAGGCCTCTCCTCTCCGCGCAGGGTGGCAGCGAGCCCGGGTTCACGTTGTGGGCGCTGAGGAAGCGCTGCACCCGCGGCAGAGCCAGGGCGTCGGGCCTCCGCACGGGGTCGCTGGCCCGCCGCGCGCCGCTGCCCGGCGCCTCGTGGGGG